AGCTTGGTAAATACTCATGCTCTTTCAGTCATTCCGCTTGTGGTCGTCTTAGGTATCTAAATGTCGGCGATCGACCGAAGAGTATCTAGCTCACTCGAAGTCTTTCAGGGATATCCTCGATACCATTTTTGGGAATCATCCGCTATCCAGGTCATCCAACGAAGTAAAACTGACCGATTTAACGGTTTCTCATCCCAGAGATGATCGCAAAGATAATCAGGACCCGAATTCAAGCCAGCAGGTGTCTAACACTCCATACGAACCTCGCATTTCAAATCCAAATCCGGAAGATGGATCTCAACCAGCATCGACTGCTCTTCCATCGCGGTCTTCAACGAACCCGTATTTCACTGTAGACTTCGGGATGTTGAACCCGACCCCAACAAGATTGGAGCAATCCTCAGTTGTGAATCCGCTCAACCCTAGTCCTGCTAGTTTCCACACAGGCTCTGGTTCAAATCTTGTTTCACCTAGACCTGTTCTTCATGATGCTCCGATGGACATTCGCCAGGACCTATCCCTTCATCAACCGGACAGAGACCTAGTTCCGGGCGAGAACTATTCAAGCTGGGGCTTGAACACCTCTTTACCAATTCAGCCTCAGGGCGGCCACGTGCAAGGCATTGATTATTCTACATTTCATGCCCAGGATGGCTATAATGCTATTCAGGTCCAATCATCTGCACTACAAGACACCTTTAGTTCCCGACCTGTGATAGATTGTAAGGCTGTTTCTAATGGGGTTCATATTAAATGTCTGATCTGGAGATATTTTAAAGCAACATCTTACATGAATGATTCCTATCAAGGCCCCGTACCAAATGTAAACGAAGTGTTTCAGCAAGTCGCTCCTAGGTGAGTGTCAAATGTGCTTGATGTCTGACTTTAGAACTCAATTTCAGCATCTGGCAGTGTGCCATTTCATAACCAAGCGGAAAACTGGGATCCATCAACAATACTTGAGCTCAATCACTTGTTCCAGTGGTATTCTGGGCATACGGCGTAGTCTTGACACCTTCCCGCCATGAATTGTTGGGTACAGATATATTGAACGTTAACATTGAAGATAGAATACGTATTTTGATATATGTACACGTTGTTTTTTGAAGTCTAGTCTGACATTGTGTCGTAAGTACTTACGACACGCTGTGAGGGAAAATCATACTTTAATCGGTCACGCCCGGTAATTCTGACAAAGCGAGCCTTACTTGTATTTCATCCGTGGAACCAAGGTTTGAATTTCTACCATCATCATCGCGTCAGTGAACATGACAGACTCTGAAATACGCCCTAAAAAACGGCGACTGCAGAATGCTTGCGATGAGTGCCGAAGAAGGAAAGGTATTTGTTGCGTGCGTTCTCTAAGCAGGTATCAGTACTGACCTCAAGGTTGACCTCATACATCAAGTGAAATGTAGGCGTTCCAAGACATGTAAGGCTAGCTTATCTGAACCTGTGCGCATCCGCATCTATAGGTGACAGTGCAACTGTACCTGGGGGAGTTTGTTCTCCATGTCAAAGTCTAAAAATACCATGCACTCATCTTATAACGCATAAAGTGAATGTACCATTTTCTTTCTTCATAAACTTGGACTGACTCGTGGCTCATAGAAGCGGGGAAAGAAAGCAAGGTGAAGAGATCTCATAGAGTGCTTACGAGACTTGATAACCGTTTTGATTTGATGTCTTTTTAGTGCTCCTTCGAACGCAAACGAGATAAAATCAATCATCACTGCAATTCTTGCTGAAACCCCACGCAAAAACTTCGTAATCCCTGAAGATCGCGACGCGATCCGCGAAATCCTAGTTGACCTTGCAAAGTACATTCGGTACTTAGAAAAAGAACTAACTCGTTTTCAGAGACATGAAAGTGTTGCGAAGTTTACAGAACCCATTGTTTCCCGTGATATGGGTGGTGGATCTGGGTTTCCTCCTGAAGATGGAGAGTCATTTGGAGAGGAGTCGGATTACAGTCAGGCACAAGACCTTAGTGAACAAGTTGCAAACATGCAGGTCACTCGAATGCGAAATCAACACTTTGGAAAATCAAGCAATGCTTTATTTTTCATGGAAGTTTTGAACCTGAAAAAGTACCCAGACGTAGTCAAAAGACCAGAATATTGGACCACCCTTCCAGTAAGTAATTTTCCTTGGGCTTTATACTCGTTGCTACATACCTGCGATTCTGTGGATCAGTTTGAATTCTGTGGACCAGCCGCAAAGGAACCACCGGCTTTCGACTTTCCCGAAGATTCTCATTTGCGGGACCTTATCGATACCTATTTCACTTTTCATCATCCTTACTATCCGCTTTTGCACAAACCTACCTTTGAGAAAGCTATCTTCGAAGGATCGCATCATCGTGACCATCACTTTGGACAGTTAGTCCTAACCTTATGTTCCGTGGCGTCCCGGTACACAGATGATCCGAGGAATCTACCAAACCCCCATGAACTGTCACTAGGTTCCGGATGGAAATGGTTGCAACAGGTGAACTTATTCGCAAGAACGTCACTTCGAATGGTACCGGTATCCTTATACGAACTTCAGACATATTGTGTAGGTCGTCCACTGCCAATTATGATTACTTCATGCTTTGATTCATCATGAAAAGTTAGCAATATGTTTTTTACAAACCACAAACCAAGCGGACCTCGCCTGGATCTTAATCGGAACGGGTATCCGGTACGCTCAGCAAAGGGGTATCCATCGACGGAATTTCAATCCCAGCGGGGAGACTTCAACGCAAGTAGTAGAGAATGAAATGTGGAAAAGAGCGTTTTGGATGCTGTTGTCTCATGACCTTTTCCTGAGCTCTGGCCTCGGACGTCCGCTTGTAATGACTATAGATGAGTGAGCTCTGGTATCACTCCCTCGACGTATTACATACTTAACTTACCATTGATAGCTATGATACGGAGCTGCTTATTGAACGCGAAGATCCGGACTGGGATGATCCAGACAGCAAGCAGTCTAGTTCAGATACGTCTCCAGGGACGTTTTGGAATTGCTACTTGCGCTTGTTGGAGATTTTCAGCTTCGTCGAGCAAACCTTGGTGAGTTTTGCTACATAGTCCTGCCCCTTACCGATTGCATGACTCAACACTTGATACGCGTAGAGCTCGGTTCGACGATCAGAGCTAAACGAAAAACTTCTTACTGCAGCTCCGCACTGGAATCATAAAGCAGTGGTCGAGATCGATGCTGCGCTGAAGAATTGGTTGCTTAATATCCCTGAACATCGTACGTCTTTCTCTCTTTAAAACAGTGGGGGACTTTTTATGCGCCTTTGACAGTGAAATGGGATCCTCACCGTGAAAACTTGGTTTCCTTCGCTCAATCATCCGCTTTATATAACACATACTACTGGATCCAAATTCGTGTTCATCGACTATTCATACCCCGAAGAGGGGATACCGCATCTTCTACTGATTTTTCGTCAATGGCTATCTGCACCAACGCGGCTCGCTCGTGTATAAACATCCTGGACGTCGTGCAAAAAAGGCATCCTAAATCTGCATTTCATTTACCATTTTTTGTAAATTTTACTTTGTCTTTACTCTCTGGTCGTATTCTCTGACTAACAGCCCCTCATGAACTGACTAATAGGGTGCGGCGTACAATTCCGCAATCATCGTTCTCCTCAACATTCTCAGAGGCAAAGAATTAAATCTACGGGTTGATATACAGAAAGAGCTATCTTATGTGCATCGTTGTTTTGCTTTTTTTGGAGAATGGGAAAAGACGTAAGTTTCTCTTCAACGAAAGGACAGAAATTGAGCGTTAAAACTTTGACGAAAACTCATGACATATCTAGGCACGCCGTTCCTGGTCGTCTTAGGTAGTACTGATTAGTTGAAAACTCCCAGGTCTGCTATGCCACTGACACTTTACTTTAGGGATATCCTCATTACGATATTCGGTCATGATCCGTTATCCAAACTATCCGAAAATCCGAAGATTACTCATGCTAGTTCGTCAAATCTTCCGTCCTTAAAACGTCCCCGGGAAGGATCCGAAGACGAAGAGGGATCGGGTTCGACTCGGAAAGTACCATCCGAACGCCATGATCCTTATTCCGATCTCAACTCCGAAAATACCACACCTGGGTCAATCGTCTTCCTTAGACCCTTGGGCAACGACATGTCGAATTTGACGCCCACGAGTCAACTGCCATCGACTTCGTCGGAAGTCAGTGACTCGAGCTCGAATCTTGCCTCAACAAGGTCCACCCCTAGTATCTCATACGGCGGCCCGGCCAGCTTGCATCCACACCAATCCTGGCCTGGAATAAGTCACAGCCAAAGAGGAAATCCGTATCTTGACGAGAGTCGTTCCAACTGGAGTTCAGACTCCGCTTCTGCAATAACAATGCAAGTTGAACCAAGCGAACAGATTCAAAACCTCGAGAGTCGTCAATATCTTGTGCATCCAAACCAAGATGATTACGGCTTCAATCAGGCTCCACCCTCCCTGTTTCAAAACACTTTCGACCCAGTTGAGCCCGAACTTCTCACGCAGCGTAAGATGCTTTCTGGGGTCGTAGTGAATCTGATGCTAAATACCTCTTTATAGATACTCCTGGCTCGAGTTATCCCTATCCTTATCATAATCCTGAATCGGGCATGAGCGAACAATTCTATCATGATCCTGCGAGGTTGGGGTAAGCTAGTTTCTCGACAAACAATTAAAGTTTAGAAATTCACTTTTCGCCTTACTTCAGTATGCCACCTGAAGGTCAAGAAATATCAGAAAACTGGGATCTATCGACGCAAGTTGAAATCAACCATTTGTTCCAATGGTATTCTGGACATACGGCATAAAAATGTCTAAGTGGCTAAACGACACAATTGCATTCGTTATACATGTTTTGCCTGTCGAAACCTAGTAGCTTACACCTACTTTTATGCTCGAAATAATCGAGGAAATGCATTGAGGCTCGGTCCACACAGCTACATAATACCTTTTTACAAATGTACTTAATCGGTATTTACACAAAGTCCCTGGTAGTATATCGGTTAGTACACGCGCCTGTCATATCTTGACTCGACGTGCGAAGTCAGACGCGCGAAAGCTGGGTTCGACTCCCAGCCAGGGAGTGAATGGGGTTGCTATTTCTTTTTCTTTTTTGGATAGTACCGTAGATAATAATAAAAGTCTACCCGAATGCGTTTGTAGAGACTTGAAGTTGCTAGTTCTCGGCCTTTATTCACATAAACAATGACAAAGCCTGCAACACCTTCTGTTGTAAATAAGGCAAAGCATATGCCTCATGCGAGCAAGGTCGGAACCGACACAATCGGCCCTATGATATCGAGCCCAGATCCATAAGTTTTATCAAACACACAACACCAAAACTGCACTGAGCAGTATGTAAATATATTCGGTACAAAAAACCCAGCATTATATGTACGCCCTCTACCTATATATATACTGAAGCAAACTCTATACATTCTACTCGCAGGTAGTGAATAAGTACTTATGATACGTGTGTATCAGTGTATCTAGCTAAGTATGTATGTATGTACAATCTCTCATCTACGCGTCATCCACAGATTCTACACCACAAACCCCACGACACATAATTACATGACCCAGGGTAGCAGAGGGGGTCTAGAGAAATCTATATCTACAGCACGATAACAGCAACGCGACGCAACGCAACATCCTACAAACAACTAAAGTTTAGAAATTCACTTTTCACCTTACTTCAGTATGCTACCTGAAGGTCAAGAAATATCAGAAAACTGGGATCTATCGACGCAAGTTGAAATCAACCATCTGTTCCAATGGTATTCTGGACATACGGCATAAGAACGTCTAAGCGGCTAAAAGCCTGCATTCGTCTTACATGCTTGATGTTTTGCCTGTCGAAACCTAGCTTACACCTACTTTTATACTTGAAATAATCGAAGAAATGCATTGAGGCTCGGTCCACACAGCTACATAACACCTTTTTACAAATGTACTTAATTGATATCTACATTGAACCAAAGTCCCTGGTAGGTAGGTAGGTAGGTAGGTAGATTACGCGGCTCCGCAACGTGCGGGGAACCTAAGGTAGTATATCGGTAAGTACACGCGCCTGTCATTCGTTAGATCTGAGTGAAACGCGCGAAAGCTGGGTTCGACTCCCAGCCAGGGAGCTATCGTCTTAGCCACTTTTTTGATAGTACCGTAGATAGGTCTACCCAGAATGCGTTTGTATGTAGAGACTTGAAGTCTCTTGAAGTTGCTCATGATCAGCCTTTATTCACGTGTTCATACTCTCGAATAAACAATGACAAAGCCTACAACACCTTCTGTTGTAAATAAGGCAAAGCATAGGGACACAGTCGGTCCTTCTGTAGTATCTACTCAGCCGCTCAGTAATAAGTTTTATCAAACCTGCAAAATAGTAATACACAACTGGTATGATCACCGAGCAGTATGTAAATATATTCGGTACAAAAAAAACATGTACGCCCTTAGTCTCTATATACTGAAGCAAATTCTACATTCTATACTTGCAGGTAGTAAATAAGTACTTATGTGTGTATCAGTGTATCTAGTTAAGTATGTATGTACAATCTCTCATCTACGCGTCATCCATAAATTCTACACCACAAACCCCACGGCACACAATTACTGATTATCCCTATCATAATCCTGAATCGGGCATGAACGAACAATTCTATCATGATCCTGCGAGGTTGGGGTAAGCTAGTTCTCTCGACAAACAACTAAAATTTTAGAAATTCACTTTTCACCTTACTTCAGCATACCACCTGAAGGTCAAGAAATATCAGAAAACTGGGATCTATCGACGCAAGTTGAAATCAACCATTTGTTCCAATGGTATTCTGGGCATACGACATAAGAACGTCTAAGCGGCTAAAAGACACAACTGCATTCGTTATACATCTTATGATGTTCTGCCTGTCGAAACCTAGCTTACACTTACTTTTATACTCGAAATAATCGAAGAAATGCATTGGGGCTCGGTCCACACAGCTACATAACACCTTTTTACAAATGTGCTCAATCGATATCTACGATGAACCAAAGTCCCTGGTAGTATATCCCCGACTCTCTCCGAGAGGAGGGCCTTGTCCCCCCCTAGCACCAAACCATTCCCACGGGCCCAAAAATTGGCTGACACATGCTAGTTTTCTCTCACGCCTCTTTCCTGCTGCCCATAGCCCCAAAACGCTCCCACGACCCCAAAATTGGCTGACAAATGTTAGTTTTTTTCCACGCCATCAGTCAGCTGCTCTATCGGCAAGTCCCGTTGCAAAATGATGCGACTCAAAGGGCGTACGTGCTTATACTGCCCCTAAGTCGATTCGCCAAATGACTCAGTCGCGTCCCACGCAGTTTATTCTCTGCACCGCTGTGCAAATTTCTAGCCGCGCTTGGCGTACCGGAATTTTGCGGTCATGTGGGTACAGCGGTCATGCGTTGGGTATCTCTTTCACTTCTTGTGTACTTTATTTCAATATTTGCTGCTACTGTACCATAACTTCCTGCCTCTCGTATTTCGTACATGTACTTGTATAGGTATCAGGCTCGCATACCCGTTTGTAGTCCATCCCTGCCCTGGGGTGCGTTTGACTATTCGTAACTCGAGCCGAAGACAAACAAATGATTGGCTTTGTTGACTTGTTGTCACAAGCCCTTTTTCAAAAATGGACCGCACAACATCATAAATGTCTTTCATCACAATCTATGCTATCAATTGAAAGGAATTATCTACTGAGGTTCAAATCACTTTTGCTCTAGACTAGTGAATAGATGTGGTCAGATACCTTAGACTATACATGATGATGGAGTCATAACTCTGGACAGATTCAGTATAACAAATTTCCACTTCCGAGGCAAGAAAATGTGAACTTTTGACAAGTGGACAGAGAAGTTGGCAGCACTTTTGGTTCAGAACATGATCATGATGCCACCACATTTATGTAACAACATCAGTTGATAGAGTCTGACAAAAGTCTTTGATTCCCACCTGAAAGTGAGAAATTTAACTCCTTCCTTCCTACTTCCCACCATTTCAAATTCTCTTGTTTTATTACTTTGATCCAGTTCTCTGGGGTTCTCGTATACTCCAAATCAAACACATTTCTTAAATATGTTTGCAACCATCACCACTGTCATCGAGCACAGTCTGCGTAAATTGTTTTCTCCAGGTCTTTCTGTCTTGAACTGCTATCAATATGTCATCACTTAAGTATCTCTTATAATCACTGTCCTGCTTTGAATTCTTTGTATAAGTAATGGATCTTGTCAGTGGCAAGTACTTAACTTACACAATGATGACCCACCGGGTGAGTTTTTTGCTTCTAGATAATATATTACAAATGTTCGAGAGAAAAGATTAATGGTACTTACAGTCAGTGTGTAGCTTGCAAGTAGTTATTGGTACGCATTGTAGCTCAAGCCGTGACTCGTCAGTCTGTACACTCTTACCAGTATCAAACAAGTCTATATGAGTATCCAATGTCCAGCTTTTGTATTTTAAATTACATACATTTGGTAAAACACCATGGATTCACGGTTATCCTGCTTTGCTTCAGACTTCAGCTTCAGGGACTAGCTCGCTTTGTATTTATATGCCTTGGACTATGAAGAGTCGGGGATTGCGAACGCGCACGCGGAGCGTTACTGGATCGGTTAGTACACGCGCCTGTCATAAGATAAGTGGAGTGAAACGCGCGAAAGCTGGGTTCGACTCCCAGCCAGGGAGCTACCCATAGAATCCCTTTCTTTCTTTTCTGATAGTACCGTAGATGAGTCTACCCAGAATGCGTTTGCATGTAGAGACTTGAAGTTGCTAGTTGATAGGTCTCAGCCTTTATTCACGTGCTCATACTCTCGAATAAACAATGACAAAGCCTACAATACCTTCTGTTGTAAATGAGGCAAAACATATGCCGCTCAATATCAATACCTAATCGAGCCCAGCTCCTTGGGCCTTAGGTTTCATCAAGCCTGTAAAATACACAACATCAAAACTGATATGACTGGGGGGTATGGCCGCAAGCGGCGAGGGCCGAACCTTTAGTTTGCAAGGATTGTGATACCTCATTATTCAAAGCTTTATGTAGAGTACAATTCAAAAATTAATTGATATGTTACCCGGTAGTTGGAGTTGGAGGGGTCCATCTACACATACCATTGTCGACCATTATCCGAAAGATCTCATACAGATTTGTCAGGGCTAGCAACAGGACTCGGGGGCCGCAGTGGGTCCTTCTGAGAAAGTCAAGCCAATGATTATTGGTATCATAATATAACACAAAACAGGATCAGGAAAAGGCACGGAATTTGCCAAAATCTTAAACAAATATCCTAGCATCCTGTGATTCAAAAACTTACCTTCCTATGCTTCAAAGCCTATAATTCAACATCAAAAGATGGTGGTGAATGTAAATAATAAAGGTATTATTGTGTAAGATTAGAATGATTTAACACTTGAGTAGAACATGGTTTCCAAGAAGATGGTGATGATGGAAGGATGTCTCTGAACTTGTCTT